CAGGGGGCAGACTCAGGACCAGACCTGGACGCTGCAGCAAACACCTGACCTGACGCAGCTACTTGACCAGACGCAGGAACCGGAGGAGACTTGGTAGTCAGTGTGTACAGGCTCGACCCCGGCTGACGGGTAAACGTGGCCAAGTGTCGGCCCGTCCGAGCACACGTGCAGTGGGTCACTCGCTGACTCGCACGAGTGAACTGGTCAACCCCCCCATCCTGTAGGTCAGCACCACTCATCAAGTTCGTAGAGAACGAGGGGAGGTCAAGACCTGACAGGGAGCCAGAAGGGGCCGCCGGACACGGTAGGACAGTGGAGTAGTGGGCAAGGACAGGACCCCCAGAGGGGTCTGCCAGGGAGACTGCAACCGGCCGACGAAGCGGCGTGAGTGTGGTGCGGTCTCGAAAGAAGGAGCGGGAAGCACCCGAGTCAAGGGTGAAGGTGTGCAAAACCTGAGCCGACGCAGTACCTGAGAGAGCAGACTCACCAGCACCTGGAGCAGCAGACTCACTAGCACCTGGAGCAGCAGACTCTCTAGCACCTAGAGCAGCGGCCTCAATGCCCGGGTCAGGCGGAACACACAGGTAACAGTCACCCTCAGCACTAGTAGACACAACATACATGGCAGCAAGAATAGCATCATAATCAAGATCAAACATAGCTACACCCGACTTGAGCAGATCACCCCAGCGAGGGATCTCAGTGGCGTTAGGGAACTGGATACGCCAGGCGTCCGTCAGGCGGCCAAAGCAGCGCTGGGTGGCGTGCGGCCCGCCGCACGGCTCCCCAGTGCGGTCGCCTGTACGCAGGACTTAGGCACAGGGACCAGGACCCCCAGACTGCTGGCGTGCAGCGTACCACTCACGAAGCTGCCGGGGCGACGGGGTCTCACGAGAGCGCTGCTGCTGCTGGCGCTGACCACCACCAAAGTCTCCCCGCTGCACAGCTCCACCCGGACCAGCTCCACCTCCGCCGCCGCCGCCGCCGCCGCCTCCACCTCCACCGCCGCCACCGAAGCCCCCACCCCGGCCACCACTCCCACCCCCACCCCCTCCGCCGCCTCCACTGCCACCACCGCCGCCCCCGCCAGCTCCTCCAGCGCCCTTGCCCCCCTTGCCCTTGCCGTTGCGGCGCCTCCCACTAGGAGCAGACACAGCGCCGACCGACTCGGTGCTAACGAGGTCGACAGCAGCAGCAGAGGCAACAGAGGGCAAAAGGGGGACGGGGGAGCACCCCTCAAAGAAAGGGGCACGAGGGTCACCACGAGAGGCTCCAACAGCGACTATACTCTTCTCAGCTGGAAGGAGGCGCTCCTCGAGGAGGTCAACGGTGAGTGTGGTGGGGCAAAGAGAGAAGAAGTGGTCCCTGACCGAGCGAAGGGAGTCAAGGAGCCGGGTGACTAGGTAGTAGAGGGTGATATACATGGGGGGGGGGGTACTTGGCGCAGAACTCAGCAGGAAGCGCAGCGCGGTAGCGGGTGTCACTAGTGCGGAGGTGTGTAATGAGGTCAGCGACTGTGGCAAAGGCGGCGAGGTCAGGGAACAGGTACGGCAGCATGAGGCGACTAAGGGCAGCAGTGGCAGGGGAGGAGTAGCGTGCAACTACAGCGTCCTACAGAGTCTTAGCACTCTTGTACTGACTTAAGTGCGCACGCTCAGTGGACGACGGTAGGTGACTACGCACAGCAAGGCGGGCAGCATCATCGCGCGTGGTCCACTGCGAGCGAACAGTACTGTCAGCATCAGCAGCATGGGCAGCAGAGGCGCCAGATGTGAGATCGAAAAGTGAGAGACCATCCTTGCTATCGCACTATAGGAAAAGCTGCAGATCATCTACCCAAACCTCAAAGTCGACCGCTCGACCCTCAGCATCGAAGGTAAGAACATTGGGACTAGTCATGACAGCAGCAGCAGCAGTGCGACTTGGCTAAGCGGCGCGGCTCGGCAGGGCGGGGCGGCTCAGCAGTGCGCTTACCAAAGGCGGGTGGGTAGGAGGCCGCGACTGGTGGGGCAGGGCCGTGGCGCGCCGGCAGGGTCAGGGCCGCAAAAGGGCGGCAGGGCAGGGCCGCGGCTCGGCTGCAAGGCAGGGCCGGGACGGCGGCGACGGCGGCAGCGGCTGGCACACCGGCGGCAGCAGTGACGACAGCTGCTGCAGGTCACGCCCCAGCAGCTGCTGCAGTTGGCAGGCCGCGGTTGAGGGAGGGGCAGGGCGGGGCCGCGACGAAGGGGCGGGGCCGCGACGAAGGGGCGGGTCCGTACCGAATGCAGGGCGGGGCCGCGACGAAGGGGCGGGGCCGCAACGAAGGGGCGGGGCCGCGCCGAAGGCAGGGCGGGGCTGCAACGAAGGGGCGGGGCCGCGCCGAAGGTAGGGCGGGTCGCAGCAGGGGAGCTGCGGGCCGCGACGGGCGACGGGGTCGCGACTGCGACGGGGCCGCGACTGGCGACGGGGCGGGGCCGCGACTAGCAATGGGGCGGGGCCGCTAAGGGGCCGCGAAGGGGTCGCTAAGGGGCCGCGAAGGGGCCGTGTAGGGGCCGCGAAGGGGCCGCAAAGGGGGGCCGCAACGGGCGTCAGGGGCAGGGCAGGCCGCTAAGGGGCCGCGAAAGGGTAGGGCAGGGCAGAGCGCGAAGCGCGCTTCGGGCAGTTTAGGAAAAAAAAAAAAAAAATCGATGGTGGGCCCTAGGCAGAAACGGTCCCACTAGGGAACCCGCTCTATACCATGTGAAGAAAGAGGAATGAAATGACTAGGAAACAAGTGGGTACACGTAGGAAACCTAAAAGTGTTGTACCCTATAGTATCCACCCCACTATAGCCTAGATAGACTATATCATATAAGTTTGACAGCGCGTTCAATATATTGTGCTTTGGAGCTTCACGCATCGCGTATTTCTGCCGCTTCAAATGCACAGCCTTTCGTACGCGTTAGCGTGCCGAAGCCTGGCCTGGTTCTCAAACAAAGGATATTGGGAAAAGATCATACAGGGGCCGAACAGTGCCAGAGCGGTGATCTTCCAGGGGCCGAGAGGCCCGGAAATTACCAAACCGCTGTGCGAGGAGGAATTAACAGAGGGTCCTTGTTTATTGCACGTAATTCTGTTACTAGTGGCATGTACCGGCTCGCATTTTCGCTCGCGTGTCGTTTAGTGAGCCGACTCTACCGGGATCTCTAGGGCAGCCAAAAAAAACTAAAACTCATGGGGAACCTGGACGCAATTGCGGGAAGGATCAACCCTTAAAAAGGGGACCTTCCTGGTATTTAGGGTTGATGCCTCCCGAGTCGCATCCGTTTCCGAATGGGTAATTATTTTTTTTCCAGTGGTTTCTGATCGGGTAGGTGATATGTATCACCCATAATATATTATGTTGTTACGTACTCACGATTTGACACGCCGAAATCTAATCCCAGAAAAAGGCGAAGTGCGCGTTGTAGTAGATGGCGGTCAAAACCCTCACAAAAGAAAATGAACACGAAGTTTGGTTCGTTTTAGCACTTTTCTTCTATTTATGGTTCGGCTTGTTCGCCGAGTCGTTTGGTCAGCTCCGGGTTGAAATCCTACGGTCAAGATTTATCGGCCCTACTTTCAACACCCCTGGCACTGTTCGGCCCCTATATGATCTTTTCCCAAGGATATTTGGATTGGAGTAATGCGTTGGATGGCTGTGAAGGATGTGCCGCTGTGTATGTTTGCACCAGGGTAGGACCAGCTGGCTGATTTGGATAGGCAGAGGAGTCCTCCTTCCCTTCCGTAGCTGCCCCCGACCACGCGAGAGATCGCCTAGCATGTGTCGCCCTGGAGTGGCTGATCTAGGGATGGCAAGGGCATCATTGTACCATACCTGATACCAGCCGTCCCTACTTCCATACCTGCCGTCCCCACTGTGAGGGTTTCATAGATGGTTCATCTCACTACTATATCCAGCTTGCAAGAATGATTAGCGGGTCAGGTTCGGTCGAGGTGCACTGGACCACTCCCGTTCCGTTCCGCGCGGAACGTGCGCGGGAGAGGTCACCCCTATTGCTGTACATCCGAACACAACTCTCTTTGGCACATCTGCTCAATCTCCGTATCCCTTCTGTTCTCTGGTTCTGGCATCGCAAAGCGTGGAGTGGCAGAAGCATCAGAGCCGCCATTTTTATTTTCGCTCCTACCCTAAAATCAGTGATTTGTGACACCAACGAGTCGTGCTTGTAGCCGTTCTCCCTCCCTCGGCTGCCGCTTAGAAAAAGCCAGGTTTCTCCGTACGGAGGACGTACATGTTTCTTTGCAGCCTCGTTTCCTCTCTTTTTGTAGTCATCATGGCGCGAAAGTCTACAACCGTCCCTCTCTACTTTGTCTGCCGCGTGCTGGCCGTCGTCATGCTTCTCGCGTTCGCCGCTGCAAGTAGTGCCTACCGTGTGGCGGATGGTCGGCGACAGCGTCTCGGTATTGGACGGGCGGCCTCCGAAATGCGTCGCAGGCCTTCGACGAGTCGAAGCCCGCGCCAGGTGGCTGCGACCGCTGCGCTGAGTCAGGCGCGCATCAAGCTCCAACCCTCGCAATGTGAGTCTAAATCTTGTCGCCGGAGGATGGCTTGTGGAAACACGGCATAAATTTCCCCGTGTGAGGCTAAAAGGCGACGCTTTATAAGGCTTGTGGTGGCAGAAAGAGTAATTATGCTATCATATAGTCATATTCAACCTCTTGCAGGCGCGGGTATTTCCCTTTTTAATGACAACCAGGTTGGGATTGAGCGGGATTGACGCATGATCGTCAGCTCCTGTAGAAAAATGGATTTAAATGCCAAAAAGCCACATAAAATGGCTGAACGTTCCGCAACTATTCTAGCGTGCTAGCGAAGTCCGACTGTTTTCTAGTCTAGCGTGCAGTTGCTACACCACTCGGCCAGGGCTCGTCAACGTAGTACGTCGACATTATGGGCGGAGTTGCTTGGCTTGATTCATGTTGGCCATTGCGGACGAGCCATGACAGTCTTCCCCTTCTTCCTGCCTTCCGCCCCCCAGTGCAAGCGCTTGTGGCTCTGGGGATTCTTTGGGGGAGCGACGCTGCAAACGTGTTCTGTGATGAGTGGAAGAGCGTGGACTATCATGGCGGCATAGATGGTTATTGGGAAGTGGCGTGTGACCCACACGGCATGGTCACCGACCTGTGAGCTCTGTGATGAGATGTGCGCTTTGGAAAAGGAGTAGAGGGTTGAGGGGGGGGAGGAGGAAGTGAGGTGGGGTTGATCGGGGGAGGGAAGGGCAGTATACTATGGGGCAGGAAGTGCTGTTTGGCATGATGGATGATGGAAGAGAGGCAACACTTCAAGTGCGGGGTGTCCATTCCACGCTGTACGAACGTGCTTGGAAGGGCAATCTGGCATACCTTTGAGTGTGCCACAAACGTACTTGCTTTCCATACCAGTGCAGCTCGCACCGGTCAAGCTGCTGCAGCAATGAAACCGTTTCCATTAAAACCGTACAGCCCCCCTGTTTTTGTTGTTGTGTTGTATCTGTTTGTTTGTTTGTTTGTTTGTTTCTTCGGTTTTCTTTTTGTTTTTGCACTGCAAAACTCGTATGATCCGTGTAGGTCAATGTACATCCCCTATCAAGGATTTGGAGTCGTGCCGGAAGCCATCACAGCCCTCTCTGCTCTCCAAACTCTGTCAGTGCCGACCACTGCTGGGATGGAGGCACCGGGATGGCTGCAGGGGGATAGTAGAAAGGACCACATTGGTTGCTGAACCACCACTGGAACACATGTGCTGCCGACATAGAAGAATCGTTGTACCCCACACAGTTGGGAATATCCCACATATCGCTTGCTTTTGTCATTCCACACGCAACTCAATAATCAATCATCCGACATTTGTGCACCAATCTTGAGATTCCCTTGGGTTCCCTTTCGTATTGTCTCCCTGCCCTCTTGCATTGCATGCCTCTCTGCAGGGGGCTGTCTATGCCTGGCTACAATGGGAGCGCAGAGATTCTCGGCCATTTCCCCAACCTGCAATATGTGTACGCATCGAATTCCGCTCAACCATTGCTCCTCCTCGCAACGAACGTCATGCTCGCATTACCTTGTTCTACGTCATTCTGTCCCTTCGCTCTCTCCCACATCTGAGCTGTGCCTACCCCACCCACTTGGTTGGCACACGACAGAGATCTGAGCTATACCACCTTCAGTGGATCCATCCCTGAATCCATCGGCAATGCCAAGAGTCTGCAGTACATGTAAGAGGGGGGTCTGGTGCCAAGGCATGGAAGGGGGCGTGCAGCTGCTGCCTTGGTCAGCCAATGGCAGGATGGGAACCCGAGCTTCCGGCATATGTGCTGTATTGCTGATGGGGGCAGTTCGTATCGCAACTTTTTCCAAAAAAATATTCGGAAAAAAAATCTCACCTTTCTGCCTACCACTGCGTATCTTCCCCCGTTAACACGTGCTTCTGTGCCCCGGTTCGTACGCTCTCAGTGGAAGTCTTCCTGGCAGCTTCAGTCGCCTCACTGCACTCGAATTTCTCTACCTCCCCCCTTTCCTTCCTGAAAACACCCTTCCTCCCTAAAATCCCTGCAAGAAGCTGACGCACTCTTCTCCCTGGCATGTACGTGTGGCACGGCATGGTATGGCATGGCATGGCATGGTATGGCATGGCAGGGGGCTTGGAGGCAACAACGTGAGTGGCCCCATACCTGCTAGCCTTGGCAGCCTTGTCAATCTGACGTCCCTGTGAGTAGCACGACCTGTCCCCCTCCACCACAAGCTTACATCTGACTGCTCTTCTGGCAATGCTCTTACAGCTTCCATGTTTAGTGCTTGGGTCTCGCTAGTACATCCCGTATCCTCCTATTGTGCCCCTGCCTACTCGGGTCATTGGTACCATTGTGCTATTGACTGGCCTCTTGTCTGCATGCACTCCTCAATGGCACATACCGCCCTCGAATTCTTGTACCTCCCACGTCTCCTTCTTTGCCCTTCCTCCTGAAAATCCCTTTGCTCCTTCCTAATCCTTCCACATCTTCTTCCTAAGCTGCCGCATTATATCCAGCAGCCACATCCCTACCATTGCGAGGAAGCCACTTGTAGCTTGAGCAGAGTTGAACGTTGGCTTGGATCATCTTCCTCCCCCTCCCATTCCCCATTTCCTAATTCCTCCAATCTCTCCCCTCCCATAACCACCCACTGCGACCATGCCCCACTCAATCCCCAGTGATGTGAGCAGCAACCACCTCAACGGCTCCCTCCCTGACTCCATCACCCGCCTTGCATTGCTGCAGCACCTGTGAGCACAGGGAAGTTGCGAAGCTGGGATATTGAGGAGGCATGGAGGTTCTATCGTACAGCACCTTGTCTTGGCCTAGCAAGGCTGTCAGCGTCATGTCGGAAATTCCCTTACCTCTCTCTGTCCTGCTGTTGCCTCCTCCCCATGTATCTCCCTTCTCCCCTCTCTGCTCTCAACGGATCTCCCTCCTCCCGAGTCCTACTTCTTGATTACCCTGCTCATCCTCATGTTTGTTGCTGTAGTAGTTACTTCCCAGGCCCCTCTGGGTATCACTCTCCTTACTGCACCTACTGCTTCTGGTCCTTAGTATTCCTCGATAAGCCAGTCGAGCTTACTCACATCTGCTAATGAAAACTACCTACACCATTTCTCCAGATCTCCTGAGTTTGTTATGGCCTGACACTCACTCCACATGATCCTGAAGCAATCACATGAGTAATACAGAACATACAAACAATGCCGAGGTCAAAGCCCGTACCCCCTATATCCGTGCCTGCTCCCACCCCCTATTGCTACACCGCTAAGTTCCCTTGGAGGTGATGACCTCCCACCGAAGCGGAGGGCCAACCTCTCCCATCCTCTTGCCACCGTCACTTAGCCGCCCTGCTGCCTGTCCTCCAGCTCGTGCCTGTAATTCCAGCTGGCTCGGGCATTCATCCTGCACGCAACGAAACATGCACACTTCACACAAAACAAAAGCTCCTTCCAGCTGTAACCCTTCCCCCTCCACTCATGCGAGGGTTTGCTGACTCAGCAGCCCACCTCCGCCCTGCCTTTATCCGCACCTCGCTTCCCATCCTCAGTACACATAGACGTGGTTGCCTGTACAAATATACAGTATGTACACTTCCTCCTCTGCGCCGTAAACTTGCGACAGTCAGCAAAGGTAGCAAAGGTTTTGGTGCATTCCTTCCACAACGTGAAAGTGTATTAAGAATTTTCGAGAACACCATGCATGTGTGGCAGGGGGCTTGGAGGCAACAACCTGAGTGGCCCAATACCTGCTGGCCTGGGTAGACTTATAAAACTGACGTCCCTGTGAGTAGCACAACCATTCCTTCACCACCGCAAGCCTGAAGGCTTCCATATTTCCTGGTCTCCCAGCATTGCTCTTATGGCTTCTATATTTCCTGATTGGGTCTCACTACAACATGCCGTGTCCTCCTATTGTGCCAGCTGGATTCGAGTCAGTGGTGTTAAAACTCGAGGGACAAATTGCGAAACTTAGTAAGCTTGATGTGGAGGTGGGTGTGAGAGAGCCGAACCTAAAAAACCCGTGGGTCAGCCTTCCTTAACCTATGCAATTTGTGCCTCGAGATTTAATTGGCCTCCTTTCTCCACGCACACCTCTGTGCTGTCCCATTCCATCTTGCCTCTCATGTAGAGTCTTAGTCTCATTCCATCCTGCATTTGTAAGAAAGCCTGTAATTTAGTAACTCCATGTTCACATCTCCACCAAATGCTCGCAGTAATACTTGCACATTTTCTTGACACAACATGCATTAGCTGATAAATTGTTCCAATGACCAAGTACAGGAGCAGTTCCCATGTCTTTTACCTATTTCTACTAGCACGTAATTCTGTCTGACGAGATGGGCGTTTTAGGATCCTAGAGATCAATCCAAACCTGCTTGCACGGACTAGATTCTCCGCTGACAGAGATTTTTCGATAGGAATCAACGACCCAATAAGAAAATTACCTAGAGCCCGTCTTGTGACTAAGAAGCGTTTGTTGTTGGTCAGATACTGCAAACATTTACATGCGGTTGAACTCCTCTGCTCCCACAAGTTACAGTATCTCCCCGTAGCACTTGTGCCAGACCTTTCCATGTAGAAAGAAACTGTAATCTTCATCTCAGAGATTTGTATGATATGCCTTTTCTCCTCCCTCCTTCCATCCTCCGACCCCTCACTCGCCCGCAAGGACGTTGCGGGCACGGGGCTGACCTGCCCTGCAGAGGGCAGCAAGTGTGTGGTGCAGCAGAGAAACACCACCAGCTTCTGCCACCTCTGCTTCTCCTTCTGCTCCTCTTGTACATGTAAGTCTACGGACCACGCGGACGCGAAGACCGTACGCACACACAGACCGCACGCATGCACGCACGCACGCGCGCACACACACACACACACACACACACACACACACACACACACACACACACACACACGCGCGCGCGCACGCCCGCCTAGGAGCAATGCCACAGCTGCTATAAACAGGCTTTTCAAAAACGGCTGGTTGGTGGTGGGAAAGGATTGCTTTTCCAAATAGGATTCAACTCTGTCCAATCCATATCTGTGCCTTCATTTCAGTGTCAGCACCCACCGAAGCACCAGCATCGGCTGAAGCACCAGCATTGGCTGTAGCACCAGCATCGGCTGATGCACCAGCATCGGCTGAAGCACCAGCATCGGCTGAAGCACCAGCATCAGTTGCAGCACCAGCATCGGTGGAAGCACCAGCATCAGTAGCAGCACCAGCATCAGTTGCAGCACCAGCATCAGTTGCAGCACCAGCATCAGTTGCAGCACCAGCATCAGTTGCAGCACCAGCATTAGTTGCAGCACCAGCATCTGTTGCAGCACCAGCATCAGTTGCAGCATCAGCATCAGTTGCAGCACCAGCATTAGTTGCGGCATCCGCATCGGCTGCAACGCCAGCGCCCAAGACCCCATCAGCATCTGCCCCTTGCACTCTCATGGCTGCTGCCATCAACCTCTCTGGTGCTGTTGCTGTTGCCACCCTCTCGCTCCTGATTATTGGAATATGAAGCGTAGTTTTCACATTGTGGCTTTGTATTGATTGTTGTGGGTGGATGAATTTTGGGTAACAGGATCCGATACTGGAATACGGTAGCATGCCCAGGCTTCCCTTGAACTACCTGTGTTTTGTAACTCCTTTAAAGTGTATTTCTATAGCCAGCTTCAGTCATCATGAAAAACGTTTGGGCTTTGTGGTTACCGTATTCTCCCGGGCATAACACCCCAGAGTGTTACTGAAAATACAGAGGAAAAATGGGAGGAGAGGAGGTCTTCTCCTATGAAAAGACTGCATAATACCCAGGTGGATATATATGGCAAATGTTTGCATAAGAGTTTTATATATAGAGAAAACTTGGGTGTTTCCATGGTCGTGCGGGTCAAAGTTACTAATCTTGATCAAAGGGCTTCTAGAACTTGAAAGAAAACACCATTGCAACTTGGGACTTTGGCACCCAAACACGAAGTTCCCCCTTTAGAAAGTTTTGCGAGGGTTGGACGAAAGAGTAACAACCCTCGCCCACAACTTTCCGTCAACTTCTGTGATGCCCGCCGCCACAGCCCAGCGGTCAACCTTACTAAGGTTGAACAACTTGGGCTGCGGGTTTTAACATCACAGGTTGAGGCGCGAATGTGAGTTTCAGCAAGAACTTCATCACCCCGTCGAAAATGCCATGTGGCACCTCTCTGGCCACTCGGGTGGAAGATTCACCAGCGTGGCGACAGCGAAATAGTGGGAGGGGGGAAATCTTAGCAGATTATAAGTGAAAGTACCGCAAAAGTTTTTTGAGGGAGAGATTCTCGCGATATCCTCCTGTACTTGTACCTACTCGTTAATAGATATAATAACGAATCTGTAAGAAAAGGGGGGTGTTATAAAAAAATCACCCTAAAAAGGGGTGTAATAGAAACGAGGTCGCTTATAACACCCACCCGGCACAAGCTACTCGGGGGGTGTACAATTTTGGCGGGTGTTATGTTCGTGAGAATACGGTACCTTACAAGCCTGCATTGGGACTACTTGTTCAGTGAGCTGCGTAGAGATTGGGTGTTGAATATGATGACCCTCGGGTCACTTCGCACTCGCTTCCAGTCAAGCACATTTGGTGCTCCAAAATTGTAAAATATTTAGCACATACGCACCCAACGTGAACATCCTTCCGCCAACCAGGGTGTATAGTAAAGAGAACCTTCTTTCCATCCGTTTTCAGTGCCATGCCAATGCATGTTTTCTCATGTTGGCACGCACTTCTGTGCACCAATTTGCATGCATAATGTCCCGGTGACCTCACGGCCGTGGCTCTCAGTGGAAGTCTACCTTCCAACATCAGTCGCCTCACTGCAATTGAATTCATGTACCTACCCCATCTCTTTCCTAGACCCCCCACCCGCTCCTCTTCCATCCCCTTGTGGTGTGCATCATTTAGAACTCATGTTGGCATGCTAGTTTTATTTTCTTCATGTCCCACCCGTTGCTCCAGTATCTTTCAAACCGCACCAGTCCGTTTCTTGCACGAACGTCCTTGGCCCCACTCCCTTTCCCTACCTTCGCACTCCACCGAACATGCATACGTACTAGAGTGCCTCGTTTTTTTTTTTTTGTTTGTTGGTTTGTTTTTATTTATTTATTCATTATTCATCGTTTTGTTTTGTCCTTTTGGATTGTACATTGAATCCCACCGCTTAAATAGTGACCCCCCCCTCCCCCAACTTCAAATCTTCCAAAACAAAAAGGGTAGTAAAAAAACTAAAGGGTGCCACTTTGTTCAAACAAGTGTTCCTACGACCAGGGACGCGAAACAAGTTGCACCCTTTTGCATGGGTTTACAAAACTAAACAACATGAGTGTAAGCCCCTCTCGTGCAAAATGAGTGGGTGACAAAACAACGAACGCAAGACCCAATCGACAAATTGGACACGATACTTGGTCCCACAACTCACACAAACAACTAGTCCCAGCGCCGAGTACGAATGCGAGAGGCAGAATTGTTCCTCACGCGTTATACGCTCATTCCAGTACAGCGCGAAAAAATGTGACGATTTTTACAGCATAGGATACAAAGATTCCACACAATTTACAAAGAATTGCTACAAAAGTTGCAGAATAGAAGCTAGAAGCTAGACGTACTTTCTTCCCATTCCAGTTTGCTGCGCTGCATGAAATAAAAGGGACCCGTGGCCACAAGACCTGGTGCTGGAAACCTGTACAAGCATGGTTTTGCAATGGAAAGAAGAGAAAAGGCAGGGATATGGCGAAATTAGTGAGGGGGGAAGAGTACAGAAGGGCATGGGAGGAGAGGACAGGGCAAGCAAGGGGGGAAATGGAGAGTGAAGGGAAAGGACAGTTAGCAGAGGGGAAAAGGGTCAGTGAAAAGGAAAGAGAGTGAGTGAAGGGGAACAGAGAGTGAGCCGAGCTAAAAGGGTGAGTGATGGGGGAAGGAGCGTGAGCAGAGTGGAAAACGGGTGAGTTAATAAAGAAAGCGAGTGAGCAGAAGGGAAAAAGGGTGAGTGAGGGGGAAAGGGACTGAGAAGAGGGGAAAAGGGGTGAGTGAAGGGGGAAATAGTGATCGTAGGGGAAAGCGAAGTGATGGGTAGGCCGGGAAGGGTAGGCAGGGAGGGCTGTTTGGGTCGGTGTGGACGAAAAGGCAAGGGTAGCAAGAGACGGGATGGACTGGGCAGGACGCACATTGATTGTCAATGAAGAGCAGGGATGGAAGGGCAGTAACGGAAGGGGATCGACGGCAAAAAGGGACGGGTGGCTGACTTTTCGGCACGAACGGAAGGGCTGGTAGGGAAGGGGAGCCAAGGGCAAAAGGGCAAGTGTAAGGCAAGGAAGGAAAGTGAAGGAAGGGCATGAAGAGAAGGACACAATGGATAGGGCAGGATGGGAGGCAAACCAGGAGAAGCCAAGCGAGATGATGGTAAGAGAAAGTAAGGCACCAATAGGCCGGGAAGGCAACGGAACGGTGGGACTTGTAAGTGGAAGGGACAGGACGAATGGCAAAAGAGAGGTCATTAAGACAGGGGGTGCAATCGCCCACCACACGCACTTGCAACGGTGGAGCTGTGCTGGCCAAGGCCATGAGACTGGAAGGCAGGGAGGAAACGGGGTGGAAGTGGAAGGAAGGGATGGGAGATGGGAAGGCAAGGGGGGGTGATGGGACAGAAGGGAGGGGAGATGAGAAAGAAGGGATAAGAGTTGGGCAGGTAGGGTAGGGAGCTGATAAATAACGGAGGGGAGGTGGAAAGGCAGGAAGAAGAGATGGGGAGGCAGGAAGGGGAGATGGGAAGGCATGGACCAGTGAGAGAGAGAGTCAGGGAGGAGACAAGGAGAGAGTTGGGGGGGAGAGAAGGAGAGAGGCAGGGAGGAGAGAAGGAGAGAGGCAGGGAGGAGAGAAGGAGAGTGGCAAGGTGGAGCAAAGGAGGGAGGCTGGGAGGAGAGGAGGAGAGAGGCAGGGATGAGAGAAGGATAGAGGCAGGGAGGAGTGAAGGAGAGAGGCAGGGATGAGAGAAGGAGAGAGGCAGGGAGGATAGAAGGAGAGAGGCGGGGCGGAGAGTAGGAGATAGGCATGAAGGAGAGAAGGAGAGAGAGGCAGGGAGGAGAGAAGGAGAGAGGCATGGGGTGGAGGAGAGGAGAGAGGCAGGGAGATGGAAATCAAGGAGGAGAGAAGGAGAGATGCAGGGGGTGGAGAAGGAGAGAAGAAGGGAGGGAGAAAATGGGAGGCAGGAACGCAAGGGGACCGGAATCAAGGGGACGAGAGCAGATGGGAATATAGCCAGGACGGAAGGATGTCGTGGTGCACTTCACGCATGGAGCGTGCACTGATTGCGCCCGTCCCACTCCTGCTGCCCGTAAGATTGCGACGGGCAGCATTTGCCCGCCTCTCAACAAAGAATGAGAGCACCCAAAAACACCGAAAGGGCTACGATGCGCAGGTATTCACAAAAAGAATCAAGTTCGCAAGAACCCTCATGAATGGTTGGAGAGAACAAAAACACCATGAGATACTGTGAGAAGTGCACATGTTTGCAAACCAGTTCGCAGACGCATGCTGATTGGCCGCGCTACTCTGAGACAAGCGCGTGCTAATTGGCCGCGCTACCTTGAGACAAGCGCGTGTTGATTGGCCGCCTGGTAGTTTGGCGTGCCGTGATTATTTTTCCCTTTTACAATTCCCACTCGATATTATAAAGATGGGTTCCTTTTTAGGCTTCTTACAAGTTCCACTTGATATTACAACGATGAGGTGTACTTGCGGATAAAGAAAAGGTTGTGACACGTCAGTACAAGCCCATCCTTCATGACGCCAAGGTTTTTTTTTAGCGCATACTGAGCACGTGTTTTGCAATCCCACGATTAGCAATTCTGAGCAGTAGTAACCACATCGCCACTCAACTCGTCCATTTGCGAGCCACTATTTTAGCCCCAACCATGCTATGTTGGCACAACTGGCAAACATATCGGCTTAGGGCGTGTAAAATTGTAACGCCCAAACCAAATGATCGATCATTTGCGCATTTCAAGCTAGTGCGAAATGTGTAACGCTTAAGCGAACCCCATCTCAAATTTGGACAGCATTAGGGGCACCCACCCTGAACCACCCCCTTAAGTAAATGCGAAATTGTTTATCCCTTCACTGTATTTGAACGGGATAGGAAATAACAAGGAATCTGACAAATATTTAGCGCGCTTAACAAAGCAAAGGGTTTAGGCAAGCAGAAATATTTTCTCCTCGCTCAGAATTAGTCTATGTATGTCCCATAATGCGGCGCGTAATTTTCGAGGCAGAAAATACCATAAAAAATCGGTCAAATTGGGGTGATTAATTAAATCGGCGTAACCCTAATACTTCGCAATCGCAAAAAACGCGCAAATGTTCGACCATTGCCTTTGGTCGTTACAATTTTACACGCCCTTAGGGGAAATGAGGGGCTTGAAGTGGCCCTGTTTCAAGCACCATATTCATTTTGTGAGTCAATGCAGCTCATACCTTTGACTCCCAGCCTCTCTATTTCCTAGTGCCTTGGTCTCCTAGTGCCCCTGCTTAATATAATCTCAGCGAGCCACTTTGAAACTAACTATCTGTCAGAATCCCAACCACTAGACCATTGGGATAAAAGGGCTTGTTTGTGTAGCGGGTAAGTGCGCCCATAACCCCCCAGGCCAACATGCCTGAAACCCTTCCCTAGGATCAATCGGGGATCACCAGTGGACCTCTGACACCCCCCCGCACTGGGATGCCAGAAGTGCACACACCGGGTTTCGAACCCGAGACCTTCACTCTGATAACATGTCAGAATTTCAACCACTAGACCATTGGGATAAAAGGGCTTGTTTGTGTAGCGGGTAAGTGCGCCCATAACCCCCCAGGCCAACGTGCCTGTAACCCTTCCCTAGAATCAATCGGGGATCACCAGTGGACCTCTGACACTATCTCCTTCGCCCATTCCACTATTGTTTTACGAAGCTTGCTTACCAACTCTCAGCCCCGCCTGGTTCATTTATTTTACCAATCCGCCCCCGCTCTCTAACATATTACTATGTGATCGAAAGCTTGCACTCTACATGAGCAGCATCGTGTGTGGCTTCAAGCGGCACGGCGTTCACCAGTGACAGTGATTTGGAGCTGGAGCTGATGACCGAAGGAGCTCATGCGAAGTGGGCTCACGATCACCCACCTACTCGCGCTGAAGCGGAAATTGAGTCCGCTTCCCCCCGTGCTGAAGGCAATAACGTCAACATCGATGGCAATGAAGGCGCAAGAGTTACGCACGGTGCACTGCGAGGGGTGGTTAGTGTGAACACCGCGAGTGGTGGTGGAACACACGCGCAAGTCCTTCGGTCAGTCGCTCTAACAAGTGCGCGTAGTGACGCGCACGGTCGTCGCAACTCTGCACGACAAATTGGTGGCAGACACTCGTGGACGGAAAATGCGTCAACTGTACGTGATGGTGGAATCGCTCCGGAACACGGATACTTCAAGTTCTCACCCGACAAAATCGTCGTGCCGAAATTGTTCGAAGGGCGTCACGACTTGACAACGTGGGTCGAGTCCATTGAGCCATAGTTGGAGATCGCACAGTTGAAGAAGTTTGTTGACAGAGCGATGGGGGTGCTGCCTGAGGAGGATGCTGAGCAACGCACACAATTTCATTCTGCACAGCTGATGGCGTTTATGGTTATATGAATGTGTTGCTCGCCGGTCGTCCAAGTTGCATTGAAGCCTTGCCGTCTTTGGGTGGACTCTGATTTTCAAGCTTGGAAATTCATTATGAAGACCTAAAAGGCAACGGATGACCTTTACATCAGCCAGCTAGAGCAATGGTTGACAGATCTAGAGATGGGGGAGCACGAAAGCGCAACTGCGTATTGCAATCGCGCACAACAGATTCTTGCAGACCTGTGTATGGCTGGCGTGGACTACGCAATGTCTTCCTTTGTCATGCATGTCATCAAAGTTCTTCCTGCAAGCTACAATCTCGTGCGACGCATGGTGAAACTCCCGGGTATACGCAAATTGCTCGACGAGGATACGCTTTCCAGCTGCATCATTGAGGAGGAGTTTACCCTTGAATCTAAGTGGCGCAAGGAGAAGCTTCTCCCTCAAGTTAACTATGTCGTGTCGAAGCAGCAGCGGCAGCAACACAAGTGGGGAAAATTGTGCGGAGAAGGCGACAACGACAAACAAGTCGACCGCGCGAAGATGACCAAGAGCGATGAGCGTTTTGGTGGTGGAAAGCGCAACACTCAACGATATTGCTTTGTTTGTGAAGATCTCAAACACATCACGAACCAGTGCTCCGACCGCTTCAACAAGGAGGCTGGCGATGGTCAGGAAGCTCCACGCGGACGATCACAAAACCGTCTACCTCGTCGCGAAACCGCATATCGCAAGGACAAACAGCACTCTGATTCCAAGGAGAAGCAGCCGTCGGATGTCGGAAATTCCCGCGGAAAGGGAGCGAAGGATGCCGCAAGTGACGCCGTGCACAACGAAGGGCAACCGCCATGTTCGATGGGCGGCGTGGTGATGGACACATCTGCGGAACCGACCATGATTTGGCTCCGGAAGCTAGCGAAGACTTCCAGGCGGTCGCTGCAGCTGTGCAAGCAAATCCGACTGTGGTACTCCTTGACAGTGGCTGTTCGCATCACCTCATGGGGACGCGCGAGGCATTTGGAGACATGAATGTGGGAGGCGACGTTCACCATGTGCGTGGATTCAACGGCGCTATTCAGCCCGCACAGGGGCGTGTTGCTCTTCAAGGAGCAGCGGGCACGAAGGTTCTCATTCCTGATGTGCTGTATGTGCCTGGTGTACAAGCAATCTGCTGTCAGCTGGACAGCTAAAGGACAGTGGTGTGCAGTTTCAGGACACAAGCGACGAGACGCTTCTCATATTTGCTGAGGGAGCTGATCTCGGACGAGCGCGCTATACTGGTCGTATTCTCTGCACTGACCACCGCCCGTGTTCGTCGTAGCCGACGCCGCTGCCGACGGAGATGGTCGCGCTGCGGACGATT